AAACATAAATTAGAGAGAGATTAGCCTAGGGTATGTGTTTTCTTATAGCTGCTGTTTTCTTTCTCTCCAGCACCATCTCCATCAGATACATGATGCATGGGAGTGTTTTACTGTTTTTGGTCGATATGATTCTGTAATTAGGACTGTCATAATTGTCAGCACCAGGCCCACTGGGCTCTTAATCTGGCCATGCTAGAAACCGTGTACAGGTAATGTCATCTGCCGTTTTTAATCCTACACCACAAGCAGGCCACGAGAGAGTACATCGCTGTGTCAGACACCAGGTAACATCTTGCACCCATGGGAGTGAGTAAAAAGTATTGAACTTCCCGGGGATCGTGATTGAGGTCATGTTGCTTCGGCCTCACAGAGATATTTCGAACCCTGACTTTAATGGGAGTCCTTTCCCTGTGTTTTTGGTTGAGGCAAGAGCCTCGATTCCTGGAGACCCCTCTAAGTATTTGGACCGTAGGTTGGTGATATCTCCCAGTGGACCCACAGCGTGGAAGAAGAAATAGTAATGGTGGTCTTAGCTGGAATGCGGAGCAGAGGTGTAGTGGGAGAGGTAAGCACCTGAGTTCTGTTATAGCTGCGCTGAATCTTTGACAAGACCACTATTCTGTGTACATCAATACTGCTCCGAGACAGGCAATCATAACGGGTTTCTGCAAAGGTTGTGCAATTTTGAACCAAAAGGCTGCAAATATTGCAGCCAGCCTGGCATTGAAATCAGCTTGCCCATTTGCGTAAGCAGCAAGATTCCTGGGATCTTCTCTGAATTGTGAATATGGTCCAGGGCCCATCTCACATACACCTTGCAACTGCAATAGATCCCTCTGAGGTAAAGAGGTATTTCCAGCGTGGACCGGGAGATCCTACACCAGTCCAAAGGAGGGTTAATGGGGCCACAGTAGTATCTTAGAAGAAAGGATGCCCCATGTTGGGAGATGGTCTGCCTTCCTCAATCATAGTAATCTAGGCCTCATGGCCGGACTTTGAGATCTTCTGGTGCAGCAATGCGAGTTGGGTATGTGCTGCACTTTTTTTTTTCATGACAACATGCTTATTCACAGGAAGTAATTATAGGAGTAGTGAGAAGAAAAAAGGGTCATGCAGATCGACAGCTGAGTTGAACTAGTGGTAAGTAAAGATTAACATTCTGCCTAATTGAGCAACTTAAACTAGCTTTTGGTGAATTCCCCTAGGCATACATACAGACGAGGAGAAAAAAAGTAGCCACCTTCCCTGCCCACATTAAGTTGCATAGTGTGATCCCCATGTTACCGGGAAACTGACGGAGGCCAAGCACAGAGAGATGGACACAGGTTTCTTCAGGAAGGAAGAGATCTTTATTCGATTCACCGACCGGGACTCAGAGGGACTTATGTCACCAAAAACAGCAAAGATCTGAGTACTGAATACATAGAGTACATTCCTTATATAGCACTGTAGCTTCTCCCATAATTAGCTACGCCCACACATACCCTTAACCTAATCAATGAATAGAGTCTAAACTCATCCATCCGTTCTAACCACATGGCTCATCTGAAACAAAGGAGAGGAACGCGTAATTCCAGTTCCTGCATTCCTGCACATGCTCAGTACAGTGATGACAGTATCTTAGCTACGTGTAACTAACTAACTGATACTACAAACACATGTACCTACATATGCCTTGTGGCAATCTTGGCCTGCTAAACTTGTATTTTACTGGAATTCCATCACATTCCCCCCTTTGATGCTTCTGATTTAAAATAATTCCAGATGCATCACCAATCATAGTTTGCTTACACCTCAAATTGCCATAAACTAGACTAGACTTTGCGATCCTCTAAAGATACGAACCCCTCAACATTCCTCTTCCTGCATGTATTCTCCTTGATCTAGAGCTTCATACCTGCAAACAGCCATTACCTGTGCTGCGGCCTTTCTTTCTGCTATACTTTCTATAATGCTCTGCATAGACCTAATTACCAAAGGAATCAGACATGGCAGAAGGAGACACAACATCAAAATCAGTATGACTCCACCTACCAATGCCTTGATTCCTCCAAACTGCTCATACCAACTACCAAACCAACTACTTGGATTATACCCTTTCCATACCTGAGTAGGTACATGTGCTAGCTTAACCATATGGCTAGTAAGCTCAGCTATTGCTTGCCCTTCATCATCTATTTGAAGACAACAATTGCTTAGATTAAACTTCCCACATACACCTCCCTCTACTGCCAATAGGTAATCCAAAGCTAATCTATTCTGGTAGATGGCTGTCCTCATCCTAGTGTTATGCTTCGCTAGGAGATTGAGCGCTTGTGATGTTTCATTGGTAACTATCTCAACTACTGCTTGCAATCTTATAATACGATTAAGCATATATATTGGGGTTCTGTATCCATAAGTACCATCCTCTGCCCACGTAGCTGGCCCATAATAATTTATAATACGCTGGGGTACCTATCTCTAGGGGTGCCCTTTTCTTCCTATGATTTACATCATATACTTTAACTCCCAAAGTCTCTCCTGTTTCAATTGGCAACAAGAAGAATGATGGTTTGAGCATACCCAATACACATGCCCCTTCCCAGTCCTGTGGTAACTCCGAATATGCTTTCTTACCACAAATCCAGTACAAATTTGCTGGGCCTTTCCAACTAGATTATTTAGGCAGTTTGGATCTATATACTTATGCTTATTACTAGGACAAATATACTTATCATTAGACCCATACGTTCTTTCCCATTTAAAACCACCGCATACATTCCATGGCTTCCTACTACCTGATATCGCCTTACATGCATCAAATAGCAAAACACCTGGAGACTGTACGCTTTCTAGTACAGTCTTATTTATCAGGTTCCCCTGTGCATTCTCATTCCGAATAGTCAACCAAATTGTACGGGGCTGATACTCAGGATTAAAACACCTAGGTTCTCCTGCTCCTATATGGCATACACTATAATCTGTACCTAGGTATCTACACTTTGATACATGTCCTGTGCACTCACATTGCGAATGCCAAATAAGGGTCTGGGAAATACGATTGCCTGTTTTTGTAGTCTTAATGCAAACCTCGCAGCCTGGTGTGTCGGTACCTCTACCTTCCTGAATAATTAAAAACACACATATATACATCATCAAACACATTACTCCTGACATCTTCTTCCTAATTCTTCGACCGTGCGACGGCACCTCAGCTTCCAGGCGTGTGATGCTGCAGGGAATGGAGTCCTTCTGATCCTCACTGTTCTTCACAGAGGATTCCTCTGGCTTAAACATTGGTAGGTGGTCAGGCTTTATTGTGGCCGTCAAAACACCTACTTGTAGATCTTTGTTGATGTTCCCTTGTAACAATACTCTTCACAAAAACCACTTTTAATCTAACTGGGTCACTCGCTTCAACCGGATCTTGCAGGGATTCTCAGGATCTTGAGTAGCTTGCCAAGAATCTGCTGCTGGTTTAACCCTGGAGTGATGAATCCACGGAGTCACCTCTGCCACCTTTATAGCTGTTGGAGTAGACAAAAGAACAGCATAAGGACCCCTCCACTTTGGCCCCAACGGTACACTGTTCCACTCCATTATCCAAACTTGGTCTCCTGGATGGTAAGAATGGACAGGTGGATAAATATTTACAGGTAACCTATCTTGTACCCATTTCTGTACCTCCTCCATAGTTTTACCCAACTCTACAACCTGCCGCCGGGTAATTCCTTCTCCCAACTGACTCAAGTCCCCCCTTAAGTTACTAAGTATGGGAGGTGGACGCCCATACATAATTTCAAAGGGTGATAGACCTAACATTCTGGTAGGTGTACTATGAATGCATAACAGAGCTATTGGCAAAAGAACATTCCACTTGAGTTGGGTTTCTTGACACATTTTTGCCAACTGGGTCTTAATGGTTCTGTTCATCCTTTCCACTTTCCCAGAACTCTGAGGCCCATATGCTGTATGAAGTTTCCACTTAATACCAAGCAAATGAGTCAGTTGTTGTAGGCACTGATGGACAAAAGCTGGACCATTATCTGATCCTATAGAACACGGTAGTCCATATCGGGGTATTATTTCTCGCAACAGAAATCGCACAACTTCTCCTGCTTTCTCTGTATGAGTTGGACACGCCTCTACCCATCCTGAGTAGGTACACACAGCTACTAGTAGGTAACGATGTCCGCCGGATTTGGGCATTACCGTGTAGTCTATTTGGAGATTGGACATAGGAAGCCCTCCCATGTACTGGACTCCCGGTGGTTTCACTGGACCTTGCCTTGCGTTGTTCTTGGCACATGACACGCATCTTCGAACAATGGCTTGAATCAAGTTGGACAATCTTGGTATGTAGAAATGCTTCCTAAGAGATTCTTCCATACTATCTCTTCCAGAATGTGTCCCATTATGATAATTCTGGACAATTTCTACAGCTAGCGATGCTGGAATAACTATTCTTCCATCTTCTAACTGATACCAATTATTCTCCAAATATTTCCCAGCTTCAGTCTTTAACCACTCTACTTCTTGAGCTGTATAAACTGGAGTCCACTGGGACAGTGGGGTCGGTATAAGAGCTGCTACACACTCCACATATTCTTTTTGTCCGGATTCGGCGGCACGCTTAGCTGCACTATCTGCCATCTGATTTCCTTTCACCACATCACCATCACCTTTCAGATGTGCTCGACAATGTATGATACCAACTTCCTTCGGCTCCCATACAGCTTCCAATAGTTGTAATATCTCAGCTGCGTACTTGATTTCTTTTCCTTCTGAGGTCAGTAATCCTCTTTCTTTATACAAAGCTCCATGGGCATGAGTGGTTAAAAACGCGTACTTTGAGTCTGTGTAGATATTTACTTTCAACCCTTCAGCTAATTGCAAAGCCCGTGTAAGTGCGATTAAGTCTGCCTTCTGTGCTGATGTTCCTTTTGACAATGGCCGCGCTTCTATCACCTTGTCTATAGTTGTCACTGCATATCCGGCATAGCGAATCCCTTCTTTCACGTAACTACTGCCGTCCGTGTAATACTGAAATCGGGGTTCTGGATGGGAAAATCATGAAGGTCCGGTCTACTTGAGAACACTTCATCCATTACCTCCAGGAAATCGTGTCGACTCTCAGTAGGTTGCGGCAAGAGGGTAGCTGGGTTCAAGGTATTTACAGTCTCAAGATGCACTCTCGGGTTCTCGCATAACATGGCTTGATACTTAGTCATGCAGCTATTGCTAAACCAATGATTACCTTTATAGTCTAGCAACGTCTGTACTGCGTGCGGGACTCGCACATAGAGTTCCTGACCCAGAGTGAGCTTGTCAGCTTCTGCTACCAACAGGGCGGCGGCAGCTACGGCCCTTAGACAAGGAGGAAGACCACTGGCTACTGCATCCAGTTGTTTGGACATATACGCAACAGGTCGTTGCCATGATCCCAGATACTGTGTCAGTACTCCCACAGCCATCCTTCTTTGCTCGTGTACATATAAGTAGAATGGACGTGTATGATCAGGTAGACCTAATGCGGGGGCGCTCATCAATGCCTTCTTAACATCCTCAAATGCCTTCTGCTGTTCGATGGTCCACAGGAAGGAATCATGTTCCGTGCCTTTAATAGCGGCATAGAGGGGTTTCGCCAGTATCGCATAACTGGGAATCCATATCCTACAGAAGCCTGCTGCCCCTAAGAATTCTCGCACTTGTCTTCTATTCTTAGGTTTTGGTATTTGGCATACAGCCTCTTTACTTTCAGGCCCCATTATCCTTTGACCTTCAGAGATATGGAATCCCAGATACTTGACAGTTGGCTGACACAACTGAGCTTTCTTCCTGGACACCTTGTATCCTGCCTTCCAAAGAATGTGCAGTAAATCATAAGTTGCTTGCTGGCATATCTCTTTAGTAACTGCCGCCATCAACAAATCATCCACGTTGTAGTACACATTCTCCTGGGATGGACTTGAAATCTAATAAGTCCTGACTTAATGCTGATCCAAATAGGGTAGGTGAATTTTTAAACCCTTGGGGCAATCTTGTCCAGGTCATCTGACGTTTCGAGCCCGTTACAGCATCTTCCCATTGGAATGCAGAGATACACTGGCTTTCTGTAGCAATTCGTAGGCAAAAGAAGGCATCTTTAAGGTCCAAGACTGTAAAGTAGCCCCACCCGGAATCAAGGCAAGCAGGTTATAAGGATTGGGCACAACTGGATGTATACTTACTACCGCATCATTGACTGCTCTCAAATCCTGCACAGGACGATACTCATCTGACCCAGGCTTCTGAACAGGCAACAATGGAGTATTCCAGGGGGAAGTACAGAATTTAGGATACCATACCTTATGAACTTATCCAAATAAGACTGTATGTTCTTCTTCGCCTTTTGAGGTGTATGGTATTGTCGCAGGCTTACTGGATAAACCCCAAGCTTTAGTTCGATGCGTATAGGTGGGATATTGCGAGCAAGTCCTGGTGGGTTATTTTCTGCCCACACTCCTGGTATATTATACAAGGATTCATCACTCTTAGGGTTTTGACTTGTCATCACTGTATAAAGTCGCCACTCTTCTTCCTTTGGTACTGATAGTGTCATTATACCTGAGGGTCCATTAAACTTCAAGGATGTTGTTCCGTTAGGCAGAAATGTTATCTGTGCTTGTAACTTCGACAACAAATCCCGTCCTAGAAGTTGGACTGGACATTCAGGCATGTAAAGGAACTGATGTTTCACTACGTGGCCTCTCAGTGTACAGAGTCGACTTTTGAGAACCGGTTTAGCAGCACTCCTTCCAGTAGCTCCTATTACAGTCATAGTTCTTCCTGAAGGAGGAGCAACTAGGTCGGTTACCACAGAATGTTCAGCACCAGTGTCGATCATGAAAGAACTCCTTTTTCCCCCTATTGCTACATCGACCATAGGCTCCGCTCGACCAAGGGGGATGGAGCCCGGTCGGTATCAATAGTCCTCCATGACAGTGTCAGCCAAACCCACAAAGTCCCTATCTTCTCTTTCTCGCGGTCTCTGCGCTGCTGGGTAATACCTATCCCCTTGAACGCTTCCTCTACTATTCCCACCATTTCCTCCAGGGCCTCCTCTTCCTCTCACTCTACCTCTATAGTTATTACTATATCCTCCCCTTGTTCTATCTCTCTCATGTTGTTCCCTCAATGGACACTCACTCCTCCAATGCCCTTCTTCCCTACAATATGCGCATTGGTTCCTACTTAAAGGCTCCCTATTCCACTTATTCTCGCTTTTCTCAGTTCCCCTGTACACTTCCTTTTCCTTCTATCTACATCAGCGATAGCTACCGCTAACATATCTGCCTTCCTTCTCATCTTACGCTCTTCTTCCTTCTTCGTCTCTATCTCCCTATTCATATAAACCTTATTTGCTATTTCCATTAGTTGAGTTATAGACATCCCTACAAACCCTTCTAGCTTTTGCAATTTTCTTTTAATATCTCCGTAAGCCTGGCTGACAAAGGCAGAGTTAACCATCCGGGAATTCTCAGGAGCCTCTGGACTAAAGGGGGTATACAATCGGTATGCCTCCAATAATCGGTCATAAAAGGCACTGGGCGACTCATCACATTTCTGCAATACCTCAGCCGTCTTTGACATATTGATCGCCTTTTTCCCTCCGGCTTTCATGCCAGTAATAATGGCTTCCCTATAAGCTTTTAGGTGAGCCATATCAGCACCATTAACATTCCAATTCGGATCTACGTTTGGGTAATGAGCTGCGGCCCATGCTACCGGGTTGGCCTGATTCTGTGCACGGGCCACTTCTTCAAGCGCTTTAATTGCCGCCTGATTAATCCGAGTCCTTTCCTCGTTATTAAACAATGTCATAAGCAATTGCTGGCAATCAGCCCAAGTGGGATTGTGCGTTTGGATTATGGAGGTAATCAAATCTGTCATGGCTTGAGGTTTGTCTGTGTAAGAGGAGTTATGGGTTTTCCAGTTGAAAAAATCCGTAGTGGTAAAGGGAACATAAACAAATACGGGGTCGGCATGTTGTAACTGGCCTTCACCATTAATGTGTGTCGGGCCCGGTGTCAATCGGAGAGGCATTTGATAATGTCGGGGTTGGAGGGTACCGGTCAATTGTCGGGTTAGTATGGGGCTTCGTTGAGGAAGGTCAGTTATGGGTTCCGGTCGAGGGGTAGTAAGACGAGGGGAGGGGGACGCTTTTTCTTTACTGAAGGGGAGGTTGGTAAGCAGAATATTCCGGGCCGGGCTGGGAGGAGCCTGACCAGGAACCAGAAATGACGTCAAATCCGGATAGGTGGAGTTAGTGGGGGTAGGTACCGGGTTTAGAACAAGTGGGCTAGGCTCTGAGCTAGAGGATGGGGTAGGAGAAGACAATGGGGCAAGGGGAGTGGCATTACTAGCCGCACCTCCTCTTCCTCTTCCTGTAGAGGAGGAGTAAGGGGGCGGTAAAGGAATCTCTGACTCAGGGGGCGTGTCCAGAATGGGCGTGATCACGGCCTTGGTGGACAAACGAGTTCTGGCCAACAGGAGGCGGCATTGCTCCTCTTGGCACACCCTGATCCATTTTGGCAAGTCATCCACGGCCTGTTTCCAACAATCAATATATGGAAACTGGTCGTAAAGTTCCGGCCTACCAGATACAGCTACGTGTACACGCTGCACTAGATTAGGATCAAGACTACCACGTGGAGGCCATGCAACCACTAAGGCAGGCCATTCCCTGCTACATAAAGTAGTCAAACGTGTTGGAGACATCTTTACCCCCAAATCACATACATTATATCCCTTTTTAAAATTCTTTAACATGCAATCTAAGGGATCAACTTAACAATGGAGCGTCGTCTCCAATAGAAACAAAACAAAATACACTTCCAACAGTCACACCCGTTTCCCTTGGCAACAGCACCACGTGGCACAGTTACTATGCCAAACGCACACAACAAATCATACAGGGAATTCCCGTACACACACAGCTGTTACACCACACACTAAATAACTATTACTGTACCTTTTTTGGCGAAATTATACAATTACCCACGCTATAATTCTCAGTGTTTAAATTACCCGTCTATAACACACCCTAGTAACATCGTCTTTACAAACAGTAGTTATAGTACGGTTAGCAATGGTTAGAATACAATTTTAAAGTCACAGGTCAGTTAATAGTAGTTATGGTGTTAAACATACAACATAAACGACAGTTATTAGTGATTATTTACAGTATCAGTGATTATAATACATGGTTATGGTACCGTGCGCTATGATACAGTTACACACTATTCACACTCTCACTAGACGGCAGAGCTCACGCTACCCAGCAAGATATACACTCTACTATAATAAATTTTAACACATTTACAGTTTCCCAACTAATCTATTGGACAGTACCTTGAGAGACTACCTAAAACTATTTACATCCGTTTTGGTTAGCCGTCGCTGCCCAAGCACCACATATATCGAACTAGAGGGCGGAATTTACAACAATACCCTTTTAGTCTATCTACTCTATCAATAGTCTAGTGGGTTCCAAATTTACACGCCTTCCCACTTAGCCAAGATAGGTTGAGAACTAGCAAACGATAATGTACACCAGAGTCTGCTTAGTCTCCCGGTCCCTCCGACCTAGCGAACGAAATGTACACCCTAGATACGCTAGTCTAGACAAGACACCGGTGTCCAGCTTGGGCTATATACATTCAACCAAGACCCAGCCTGACTCCATACCAAGATTAGACGGGCTGACTACAGGGCGTCTCATTATGAGCGGTGCGCCTTCGCTCCTTCCCTCCCTGGAGGGGGCCGATTCCATACACAATTCCAATTCAAACCCCTTATGGGCCTACCGCACAATCAGTATCCAATACCCCTAGTGGGTCCACCGTCTAAAACAGTAGTCGTCTTACCTGCTCGTTCCTGAACCTGAGTTCACACTCATCGACGGGGACACCCCAGTACTTACTACGTAGAGGCCGATGATCTCCTGGACAACAGACCAGTGGCGCCGAGACGAAGGGAGGTCCACGCAGAAGTTCAGGGGTGCAGCCATAGAGAACGTGGGCAAAGATAGACCGTCTCACGCCTCTGCTTCCTAGCCACTGTTAACGACGAGCTTCCCGGCCAATGCACCAAAGATGTTACCGGGAAACTGACGGAGGCCAAGCACAGAGAGATGGACACAGGTTTCTTCAGGAAGGAAGAGATCTTTATTCGATTCACCGACCGGGACTCAGAGGGACTTATGTCA